TGTGTGGGTCTCCAAGAGCACGCCTCAGGGATTATACAGCCCGCTTCCATGAAAGATTCATGACGCCGAGGAGTGTGTATGTATGTGTGTCGCTCACGCTCCGCCAGTGACTGGAAAAGGGAACTGGGAAAGACGGAGAAGAAAAGGAAAGAGGGTGGAGGGATGGAGGGTACAGAGTGTGAAACAAATTGATGGAGCACAGTGGGGCTAACTCTCCAGGTTGCTATTATACCACTGGCTTCTGTGTACATTCTTATAGCCGCCATTTTGCTCCGGTCTGCCAAACAGATCAATGGCATGACTTGGAACAGCACATTTCACGTCAGCATTTTTTTGTGAACATACGTTATTGGAAATTTACCATAGTTTAACAGACTATATATTGAATAGTACATTTATTTATTTATTTTTTAATGGAGAAATGATACCATAGCAATAATAATCATCATGTTTACAGAGAAAAATGATGGGAAATAAAAGAAAATGATTTACGTAAAAAAAGAAATTAGATAGATTTCCTGCTTTAGTACTTATGTATTGCTTATACGTACGTATGTACGTTCTTAACCATTAAAATTCACCCCACTGTTGTTCCAAGCTAACTTCATTATAATGACAAATATTTGAACTTGTTCCAACTTGGGCTCAGGCCAGGTTGTATTTTCTAATGGCCAGCTGCCCTCGTGAAGACCTCTCCATGACTATATTTAACAATACGCAGTAGCTCACGGATAGAAACATAAGTAAGCCGACCTGTGTAGTGTAATTCCAAACTCTGCATTCTTTTTATAGGTTAATGTAGGCGTTCAGACCAAATAAAGCGCCGTGGCCTGCACTGCTGTGGGTGTATTTGCTGTGGGTCAGGGTGAGATTAAATGCAATACCAAAGATAACTAAAGAAATGCATCTATGGCAACAAAGCAGAGCAGGATAACGATTAGTGCAGAACAAGAGGCGACGGTGAGAGTACAGCTACTGCACTGTACATAGACATATATACTGTAGGTAGTCGGGGAAGCAGTACTGCTACTGGCCAATAGGAGTTTACCACACACAAAAAAATCTGGCTCCAGTAGCACTTCCTTCAAGAGATTTCTTTCATAAGATGTTGAATGTAAACAGTTCATAATGTTCTAAATTAAACCATATTTCTACTGAGATTTCTGAGATTTATTTATCTTGATTATTGCTTTCTATGCGGTTTGACATGGTGGGTTGTGTTGTCGACTGTGGTTCCATCTTTGTCCTTGTTTGGTCTTTCAGCCACGGTGATTTGTCGGCAGGAAGGCAGGGTAGATTACTGATACACAAAACTTGTGTTTTCTTCTCTTCTTTTCTTGCCAAGTTCATGCCAGAAAACACCGGCTGACACAATAAGCAGCATTTAGTTATTCTCAGCTGGAGGAAGTGTGTCTTTGCCAAATGTTTAATGGTGCAGGAACTCTTATTCATGTGCCTTCACCTTGGCAGTCTGGCTGTGAGGGAGGGGGGAGAGAGAGTGGAGGTGCTGCGTGTGAATGTGTTTATATAGACCTCATTGAATGACTCTAATAGCTCCTCGCTGGCCTGTTCCCACTTCCTCTTTCTAGCATCTTCAAACACATTCCATTATTGCCCCTTTTGATTGCATTTTAGATTAAAGACTACGACTGGAGGGAGAGGAGTGTGATGGGCAGAGACGGAGTGAAGAGAAATTGTGGTGGTGAGAAATAGATGGATGAGGATGCTTTCAGATAGAGGATGTAAAAAGAAGGCCAGATCAAGGGGAGAGACGACCAGACTGACAGCCAGGCAGGATAAGACGGTACGGACGCAGTAGACACAAGGACTAAGACAAAACGCAGAGAAGGAAAAGAACCTCAGGGCTAGCGTATTATATGGCTGTTACCCCCCTCCGGTGCAGCAGCGAATGGGAGGGGCTCAGTACCCACTATTCCACTGACCTTGTAGGTCAGTTGGAGGAAAGCAGCATTAATCAAACTGACACCCAAGCTGAGGCGGATGATATCAGGCAGTATGCCCACAACAACAACACCCCCACCCCGACCGCCACACCAAACACACACGCTTACTTTCTACACACATCTGCTACACAGTGTATTTGCATTCTTCTATTCTTGTCCTGCTTTTCGGTCGCTTTTCGATATCACCATCTTTTCACTTTCTTCTTTCAGTCTCTCATTTTCTCCATCATCCACCTCTCGCCTCTGTTTGTGCCCCCAACCCTCTCTGGATCTCCATGCTACAAATAGTGAATTAACCCGACTCTACCCTGTGTTAATGGACTTCTAAATATCAGTCCTTGCCTTTGGATATGCCACCAACGTTTCCATCGGACGTGAGATTGAGTTGCTTGCCTTCTGGCCACATGCAGACATTAAGATATCAATATACTCATTTTTCTGTCTGCACTGATGCATATTTTGAGGGAATGGCCAGTGGGCATTCACTTATGGATGTTTGTTAGATGTAATATATGTGCAGATGTAGGTGGAAAAACAGCAGCGCGTGGGGCTGGACCTTAAATGTAGGCATTTTTAGGTGTCCTTTATAATGCCCTTTTCTGTAATGGGAAAAATATATATATATAAAAGCCAACAGTGAAGATTGTGCAGACACATACACTACTTTCCTAACCCAAAATACACTTTTGACCTTCTTTATTGGATCGTGATACCAACCAGCAAGTGGAAAATAGGACAGTGAAAAATAAAGTCAACAAACAAGTGTGTTCATGTGGTTGTCCTGTGTGTTGGTCAATACAAACCAATCAATAAACCCAGGCCTATACTGAGCAAAATGTCTAATGTCTGTGTATGTGTGTGTGTGTGTGTGTGTGTTTGAGTGGGGGGGGGTGGGTTGTCACAGCAGGCTGGGTTCATCTGTGAGTACCCGTCTGCAGTGAAAATAGTATTGATCTGGTGAAGATCATGTGAAGGTCAGGGTTTGTTGTCTGTGTTTGCACCCTCTTGAACCTAATACACTGTCCTTCTCTGTCCATTCACAGCAGGTACTGTATATAACAGCTGATACTTTGTCTAGAAACATCTAATCCCACACTAAAAGCTCTGTGCTGACCGAAGCAGCAGTTGCTGAATCTCTCTTTGACTCTGTCTTCAGTTAATTTCATAATTTCACACAGTAATTAATTTTGACAAAACCGGAAAAAAAAGTGGATCCTGTGATTTTTATCTCTGTGATTGACACGTCGTCTTCCTTCCTTTTCTGTGCTCATCGTCATCATTTTTGAATGTTGAAACAGAAACTAGGCTTGTTAGCTCTTAATTATTCATTTGAATCCATAAAGGCAATCAATTAAGCTTAAGTGTGCAATAAATCTGATTAACCAGTCAGTTCCCAAAACACCATAAAATCCACACAGGTCTTATACCCTGGTAATGAGTTTACAATGAGGATGGGGGAAGCAGCTAATAAGTGAGGGCACTCACTCATAAACACACATGCACAAATCACAGAATGTAAACTAATATTGGTGCTGATGCTTTTTTTTCCAGGTGATAATTTGACATATTAGCTGTTGGGGATGAAAGATAAGCAGGGCTTAATGCATGCTAATATTAAAGTCAGCAGCTTGACGGAGAATAAAGCCATGTCATCAGGAAAAGGCACACTCTTAATTAATAGGGGGATTCATTAGAAAAACAATGACTCAGTTGAGAAACATTCATTAACAAGATAAGACATTTGAATGAAAACAGACACATTAATGCTAATGTGTTGACAGTGAGTGTGAGAGGCTACGTTCAAGCTCAGAATATTGTTAATGCAGCATGCATGTGTTTGATTGGGCAAATCTGCGGGCTTCTCTGCTGCCACTGCTGTATCATTTTCCCATTATTCTCTGACACACTTGCCTGCTGCCTCCGTCCCTTCATCCCTCCCATCCACCCTCCCAGCCTGCTTCCATCCATCTCCGCCTCCCTCCCTCTCTCACTGGCCTTTACCTGCTCACTCGTCTCAGGGGAAATTACCACAGCTCAGAAACACCGTCTTACTGCACTGCACCGTTCTGCTCTCTTCTGCATCCCTCCACCCATACAGCACGCATGCAAATGCACACATACATACATACTTTCAACGCGCCCTCTCACACACAAGCATGCATCACGCTGTATTGCACACAAAAACACCCCCACGTTCACATGGGTCTGTTTAACCCCTTCCCCATCCATTTCATTGCTTCTTTAACAGCAGCTGCCTGCATTGTATATTGTGGCCATTGTGCATTCACTATAACGCAGTATATTATTTAGTAGCAGCAGCACATTAGTACACGGAAGATTAGATTACTTTGATGCCAAAACATGTTCAGGGTAAGGCATGTTTATATGACAGCATTTATATTACATATTATATTTTCCTGTGCTGGGATTTGTAAATCTTTTTGTGGTATAATTTATTTCTTATTCCTAATGAACTTTAATTGAAAATGTTGGTCCTCTTTATGGGATACCAGGGTTCCTATAGCGACTTGCGGGCAGCCTTACATTTCATTACAAGGTTGCAGACCACGATGCAATATGATGACCAATAGAGCGTCACATCAAGGCCTCGCCATCACAACTGGATGTGCCCTTTAATCATTATAATAACCGGTTCTCAATGAGGATTTCAGCTCTACTGTAAAATATTATAACCTGACAAATGTGTCTTGAAGCTGAGGCAGGTTTTTTTTTTTAAACATTCTTCTTTCATGTGCAGCCAGTAGAATGTTCCATTTGGCTCCATCTTTTGTCGGAATTATCACCATGGCAGTCCTTTTGCATATGTCAAGTCATGCCTTTGGAAATGTCACTTTGAGCGAAGCTGCAGCCCGTTGTCTGCATTTTGATTATTCACATGCATAAAGTCCAGACTGTGGAAAAGGGTTGTGTATTCATAATCAATATCATAAGAGTGACACCCCAGTGCAACAGTCATTCTGTGTCACATGTCAGACCATAAATGTCTCCATCTTTGATGCTGTGTCCAGAGAAGGACCAAAAATCAGGATTTGGTTTTTGACTCTGTTGCCATTAAATATATTGCCTGGCACAAGGTCACAGATAAATGCATTTGGAGAGGTCTTTGAGTAACATAATAATTAGTTTTAATGCAAAAGACAGTCAACTCTAACAAGTCATCAAGGTACTGACGAGTGTCCTTGAAAGAAACCAAGTCTTTATTTCCATCATGAGGAGATCGTCTGTATGGAGGCGCCTGTGTTTGATCACCCATTCTAATGACAACTGAAGGCTACAACATGTGCTTTTTATATCTTGGACAGCAGCGCTGAGGTGAATGACATTCAACCACATCATGTATGTTTACTAATAGATGTGATGTTTAATCTTTTGGAATGTTTGTTGTGTGTGTGATGTGTAAGTATAAATGTATTGGGTGTAGAATATTTTGTTGTCTGAGAGTGTATTCTAGGAAGTTCAGTCACTGGCTATAAATGAAAACCTTATGGCTGAAACATCTTGTGATTGGACTAGAATTAATACAAAGAGACAAGAATGCTGACGCAGTAATGAGGAGAAAAGGAGGAGGAGGAGAGGAGAGAAGAGCCGAGCATTGTCTGCAAAGGGAAGGAATGACTATTGCCTCAGCTGCAGTGTCTGGGCTGTTTCTTATCAGAATGTCAGGCGGACCTTTTCCCATTGGCTTGATTCAGTTAGCATTCAGCTTAAATGTGAAAGCAATTAGAGAAATTGGCAAAGTCAAACAAACATCTCAGAGAAACCTTGATGAATAGCGGTGATGCTCTAGAGTAGATGAGAACCAGGAGGAGTGGTTCATACATGTAAATATAATTGCACATTGCATCGCTGAAAATAATTCTAACCTTTGATAGAGATTATGGCAAACGACTACTGATGTTTTCAGAACGGTTCTTCCTCATGTTTGGGGCTTGTTTCTCCATAGGTTTATCAGTTTACCTTAATGAGATTCAAACCGTGAGAAATGATCGTGCTTCAGTTTGCACCATGTTATAAATCAAACCATTTAACTTGCTGCTGTTAGTAAGCACATTTACAATGACATTATTTAAGTGGCATGAATGAGCAGCAAATCTCTTTGTATAGTAAAATGTTCTGTGATTCACAATGAACTACATTTCCCCTAAGGTTTTTTTTTCCTGAGGTTGTTCTCGCCTGCTCTCACCTCTTTTAACCCTGAGTATGGAACATTTGCTTTTTTTCATTCATATGGAGTTGGCTGGTTTATTAGCTCTGGGCATGTTGCCTTGAAAGTGGAAAAAACACTTCTGGCCAGGACCCCTGGCTTTCTCATTAGCAGTCTCTTCGAGTAATGCATACAAGCCAAGAGCTTCCCTGAAAGAGTTCTCACTGGTCAGTCCTCCCCTTTGTGGATCGCAGCCTTGACCTGTTCCCACCGCACAGTGTGTGAGTGTGTCTGTGTGTGTTTGTCTGCACGAACAGTCATTTCCATGAGAAAGAGGTGTAGAGAATAGAGACAGGGGCCACATTTACTCTTTGTGAGACTGCTGCAAACGCAGTTCAGGGCATAAGGGCGACCTCATCCATCATGTCATGAATAGCCTGGAATTATCGCCCCGTGTTTCTGGACATCATGTGATCCGGGGATTCCTGACAAAGGTCATCTTGGGTAGAGGAACTTGGGCTGGGCCCATTCAGAGACATTTGGGTTTGCTAAATAAAGTTCATGATGCAAGTTCCAAACTGCTCGTAGACTTTTATGACTCTCTATTTCTGTACTCGTGCGCTATTTTCATCATGAGCCTCATGGACACTTTATTGTGTGGCAGGAGGGTGAAGGTTGAAATTTGATTGATACCGACAAGAGACCTGAGAGGAACAGAATAGACACTGATGTTTTGTACCTCACTAAAGTAGTATGTAGATTCATTTTTTTCCGAGGCTATTCCAAGGTCCACTGATGTACGATGATGAGGAAGTAGCCAAGCAGGCAGTCAAGAGCAGCTGTGAGTGCAGCTACTCAACGTGAAGGAAGTAAGGCTGGGACAAACATATGCCATAGATAGTAAATCCTCTGTAGATCAGAATAGACAAACTTGCTTTAATCCCTCAGAGTCTAGCAGTAGGTGAGTGTGATATCTGATGCAGTTATCGAAAGTAGCAATATTCAGTGTTTGAATGATGGTGAGGCAAAGCTGGATGGACTAAGAGACGATCATCTTGTCTGAGAGGATCCAGCAGATGTCTGCACTTCTTTCATTTAGTTGCATCCTTATAAACAGAGAAATGTGTGTGTGTTTGTGTGGGGGGATGGTGGTTTTAAAGATGTAGGGTAAATAGAAGTTAGCATCATTCGTGATTGACAGATTTTGATAAAATTCTTTATTCTGTCATTGTACACATGATACAACTAAATTTAGAAAGGGGACTGTCAACTGAAGATTTGTCTTCTGCAGTGATGTTCACAAATATTGGGGAACATTACCAACTTGGCACCTTGTCGCCTCGCTCCACTTGGATATTCCACCTGTCAATCACATGCAGTGCTCAGTTTCATTCACCTTCCAACACAGTGTCTATTCATTTCCTTTCTGGGGATGTGTTTATGATTATTAAAGACTTTTTGTTCTTGAAGAGATGAAAATACAATACAAAATCAAAATGAAATCATATGACTGGGGGATCTAGGATGAAGTAGTTTTTTTCTTTTTGCATTACCTCAGGGCCTTAAGTAACTGTAGATATCAATGGGAACTTTCCATTCATTTTGTCTATGAATAGAACCTACAGTTTCAACATGAATGTATTGGTTGCTTAGTTCTCTGTGATTTTTTAACATTATTTAATCTGACAAAAACAGAGACCATATGTTACAGAGTTTATGTTGCTATCATGTCTGTGTTGTCCCTCACCTCAATTCAATTTGGTAAAATGCAGATTTTACTGTCTACACAGTACACGTCTCCAAAAATCTATAACAGAGGCACATTTGTTTCCCTTTTTGAAGTGCAGTCTTAGCTGCATGCTTCAGCAATTACCTTGGAAATATGAGCTGCTAGTCTGTCCACCCTCAGAGTCCGTGGGGAGGATTGGAGAGTGGCGAAGGGCGGAGCCTTCGGTCGGGGGCGGAGCTAACGTTTGCTGTTTTGGTTGGTTGGGAGTGACGTCTCTGGAGCAACTTCCTGGTCGGGGAGCTCTCTGGGAGGAGGAGAGGTAGACTGCAGTGTTGTTAGTTTGAACAAAATGGCTGCGACACCATTGTCAACGCGAGCTCCCTGAATGCTTACCATGACTGTCCGCTCCGCTCTCTGGATCCACGCAGAATGTATTTCGCCGGAGTTGCTTCTCACTCTGCATTCACGGTAGCTTCGTCGCGGCTCGTCCAGCTGGCAACCTAAACAAACAAACGAAAAACATTTCTTTTGCACTTTAAAACAAGTTGGCTGGCTTGCTGTGACGGTGACCGTCGGCTTGCTCCAGTACGCGAGAAGTCGTCGGCGTTTTTTTTATCGAAAGCTGCGCGATTTCTTCGCTTTGGAAAACCTCTACACAGTCGACGACTTTCAGCGCCAACCGGCTCACATTAGCTTACACCATATAGCTGCTTTTTCATCATTTTATTCTTGTTGGATTTTTTGTTTTTGTTGTTAGTGGTGCTCCGTTCCCCTCCCCGCCCCTTTTTATAACGTGACGTTGTAACAAAATCTTTGACAAGTGTAATTTCTGTGGTTTATTTTAAATATTTTTGCTCAAGGCGCACATTTGTGTGTTACAATACATCTGTCTCTGCAGCCCGTGTTTACCTCGGTATTTTCAGTAGCTGCAGCCGGCGGCTTATCGGCAAAGTCTGACTCGAGCTGCGACTCAATCTTTGCTCCATCTCTTTACGGGTAACTTTAGAAAAGACACCGGAGACTGCATTTTCTGCATCTCATCTTTTTGCCATGCACCTGCTCTTCACTGAAACCTGTCAACGCTGTTGGTAACGTAAGGTAAGACTCAGATAAATCTCTTTTCTATGGGCAATACCGAAAACCCATTTGCTACTCACTAGATCGAAAAGATTTCCACGTTCTATATCAATAGTTTAACTAAAATGCATTATTATCAATAAAAATCAAAGTGGCTGTAGTCTTTCACAATCTGGATGTTTTTACTCATGACCATGTGTGAAAATAAATGTGGTAAAATAATCATACCTAAACGAACCGTTGTGGTTATAGGATGAATTTGGAATTACCCTAAAAATAGGTGTTGTTAATGTGATGTTGGATTGATGAGAGAAAAACCAAAGTAACTGTTAATTTGAGGCTTTTATTCTTTATATGTTGGCTGCACAGGTTTTAATGAGAAATGTTGGAAACTCCTGTGTTATATCATAGCTCTTTCATGATTGGCTGAGTGGACTGGAACCCTCTGTACATGTGAGCATGTAATGTGAGGATTTCTTGAATTCACTTCAAATACTGACATGTGTTGTGCTAAATCTGTGGCATTGTGAGCAAATACAAGAGTGCGTTAATTTACCTCCCAAGAATTTGTTTATTTATTCGGCTGCTGCCGGCAGCGTTATTGTATTAGGACAGCATGGTGATAATGTTTTCAGTTTGTGTCTGCATAATGTCTTGGCAGTGTTTTTTTTCTAGTCTGACAAAGATAGCAGATTTTATCCAGATGTCAGTGTTATAACTTTGCTTCATTGAATGGCTTTATCAAATCATGTATCTTGCACACTATTGTACATTTCACAGCACTCCAAGTACATTATTAAACATAGATGTCCTGTCTCTCTTCCACCCTCTGGCAGAGTGAGAAAACAGGGATTCTGATTTAACTGTCGTCTTCCATTGCGTCCCCCCATTCTGCATCCTGTCCCCAGGCACTGGAGTATAGCTTTTAATATTTCCTCTGCATGTCTTAATTGAAGTACATAATTTCCTGTTCAATTTCAAACCCCCTTTTTCTTCCTCCTCTGACATCTCTGTCACCACTGTCTTATCTCCTCCGTCACACACCAGTGAGGTGGTGAAATGAAAATTGCGCACAAGCCATGGCGGTACATGTCCACACATTATTTGTGTGTAGCCTGTGTGCACATTAGCATCTGTGTACATGTCATGTCTTGGAATGTTGGTTTGTTGTTTATTTTGTGTGCCCATGTTGGAATGAGCCAGATACTACACATGTGCAGTGCAGGCCCATATTTACCATGAGATAGAGTGGCTTTTTTGTATCAACCCCTAAGCTCTGGTGATAGGTTAATGTACTGATGTTGTTAATTAGGTTGTGAACTGCCTCCTGCATACCTTAGACACCTGCTGACACTCACAATCAGCTCAGTTATTGTTGAGAATCAAGGGTCTTGCCTACAATACACATCTTTTAGAAAAACTGACATGCATGCAGTGACGAAATGTTTGTGAATAGACATGGTTTGATCATTTCTGTGTATACATACATGTGACACAAGGCAAACAACGTGACAGCATATTTGCCGTTCAAAAACCATTTGATGTCAAGCTGCACTTGGAGCACCATCTGAATGGTTTGTCAGTAATTCACTCAAACAGATTTATTTGCTGAGTATTTGAAATTTGAATTAAAAAAAACAAAACAAATCAAAGCCTTAGTAACATTATCATAAGTGAGAAATCTTCCAAGATGGAAGAATTCCACATAAAGAGCTTTTTTTCTCAGTTTGGCATCATGGCAGCAAGAAAATCCCATATTGGCTGCAGAACTAGCCAGGTTCTAGGCTGTTGGCAGCCAGACACTGTTTTGATTAGAGTGTAATGTATCAAAGCCTCGAGGACAAACCCTGGCAGTAACTCTATCTGCCACCTTGTATCACTCAAGGTGCGGTATTGTTTGTTTCAAAGGAAACTCATAGCTGTTATTTCTTTGTATAACACTTCAACTCAAATCTGTAAACCACAAACCTTCAATTCTAGTTCAGTGCTTGGAAGGGTACCATATGTCTGCTCTCTAATATCAAATATAAGTGGGTTAGAACCTGTTAACTTAATGCACCATTTATCTTTTATTAACACTGGTTCCTTTTGTTAATAACTGTAGATTATTGGTTACTGGCTTGAAACTTGCTGAAACCTAGTGATGACATAGTCACGCTTTAGAAAGCAGCTTGTGTATTCCAACCCCTTTTCTCGATATTGCCCTTTCACCAGGCCTGACCACAGTTGTTACCGAGCCACTGATTATGAGGCTTTTTTTTCCAACAGCAGGCACAACCATGATAGAGAAAGCACTTAACACACCACAGGGTGCTGCTTCTCTGCTCTGTTGATAGTTCTTTTGAACAACGGGAGGCTTATGAAAGGTTTATCTGTCTTAGTGGTTGGTGTGATCGTTGCATGACACCAGAGGTGTCATGCAACGATCATCATGCGTCCAAAGCATGTGTATGTTTTATGCAAATTACACATGATGATGTGTCATGCAACGATCATCATACATCCAAAGCAAATTAGTGACGGCTACCTGTTTTACTGACAATATCAAAGATTCTCATACTAAATTTGAAGATACCATATTTGGGTAAATCGTGTTAGCTATGATGATTTGACATTTTCTCACCCCATCGCGACGAGATTTCTTTTGTATGTGGATGTTTGTGTTGACCCAGATTGATATAACAACATACATATCTTTGCAGTGATGTAAGAACTTTTGTTGTTACACTAAATATTAGCCGATAGTCAATATTATGTGTTGGTGTAATTCCTGACGAACTTGTTTTTTTTAAATGGTTATATTTGGACAATCAATGCTATAGTCCCAAACAACTTGAAGGTGAAGTTTGGTGGTCCTTTCAACTCTCCTCTTTTTGTGTTAGTTTGAAGGCGATTGAAGCTAATGTGCTGCACCGGGGGTAAGCCAGGCTGTGATGGAGGCAGGGGGATGGGGCAAGTAAAGCTGAAACTTGCAGGCTGCTGCCTGTGAGTCTTGGCAGGGATCCAGGGGAATGTTGAATGTGCTGAGGTTTTAGTGGGGCCTCCTTCTCTCCGTTCGCTCTATGTCCGCTAATTGGAGAGACCTGGAAAAATGGAAGGGGGGAATCACATGGAACCGGGCTGAGGATCTGTGGAACATCCAACATACAATGTTCCCTTTTTCCTGCTCCAAACCTACATCAGACAGCATTATGTAATATGTAACAGGACTTAGGCTACAACACAGGAAAAACGGCAGTGTATGAGGCAGAAGTACTTACATTGCTTGCTGTCCATACATACTAAACGCTGCCTGGCTATAGTAATATACAGTTTTATTCATATTAACGCAGATTTTATATTTAAATCTATGCTCTGCAGATAACATGTATATCTCACCACTTCAAGGAACACTTTGTACAATTTTTGGTGATTATTTTTTACGTTTATTTTTTGTGTGGTCAGATAGATTTGTTGTAGTTATTCTTAAATAACCTTTTTTTTGTTAAGGCTGAAAGTTAGATCACCATCATTTTACAAACAGCTATTACCCTTGAGTGTTACAGTAAAAAAAGCAAGACAAAAAAAATGTAGTGTTTCTTTAAAGAGGCGAAAACTATTTCAACAACAATATAGTTGGTCTGGCTATTTTCATTATCTTTGACTTTTTCTGTTGCTTATCACCCAATCAAATTTTTGCCATGCCCTTTAGATCTTGTATTTTCTATATCTTAATTTCCATGGAAGAAAAATATATGTTTTTGCTGTTTTATCACCCAGCTACATGCACAGCCTCACATTTTCATCCCTTCAAAGCAGTAACAGAATACATACACCAACCCGTGCATGACAGCTTTTTTTGAATCCAGTCAGCTTTGGCACTGGCAGGGGAGCAAGCCTGTTTGGTCTCATGCATTGTGCTGTTTTCCTATTTAATGAGCTGCCACCGTGTTTTAGTTTCATCTTGACTTGGCAGATAAAGTGTAGCTGAGATGCCGGGAGCCAATTTTCTAGAAGTGAACCTCTAAGCTTTTATTTATAGCACATCCCTGACTACTAGTATTTCTGATTCTTTGACTTCTCTCTCCATCATGCACTCCCTTCCCTTCATCCTTGACTGTTCCACCCACTAGAATGTATCTACAACAGTTAATTGAGCAAATCTGGTCAGTGGTAAAGTGTCCTGTTTATTTTACAAGCCTCCCTCCACTGCTGAAATTGCAATAGTAATGCACTTACAAATAACACTGGGTGACTGAGGGATAAAACGAGCACCAACAACAACACTATTATTACTGCTGTTCAACTGTGGAATTTATAGGTTTTATTTTCTCAGAGCCATTCAGGTTGAGTAAACACATCTACACGTGTTTGTGGGTAGTAGGTGAGGTCTGCAGCTTGTCTTAAAGAATTGTTCCCTGGGATTGTTCCGTGTAATAAAACTAAGGAGAGTCCTGTGGCCTCTCTAATACCACAGCAATGACTGGTTGCTAGAATGGTAACAGTGGCTGGGAGTGGATTTGCCACACTCTATGGCTATGACATACAGTACTGCTTCTGTCCCTGACAGTGGAAGTCTCATCATCCTCATCCCAAGGGATTGGTGTTGTATGTGGTTGTCTTGACAGACGCCCAGTACTTCAGTGAGATTGCTGCAGTGAAAACGTTTACGTGTGTGTCCTTCATATACTATGGACAGAGGGTTAGCATAGTTTAGTGACAGTATATTGTTGATGACATTTACAACGGATCAAAACACTTTTGAATAATGAATAAGATCCATCTTTCATTCACATGTACAGTACTTTTTTACCATTTTTCACTGGCACTTCCTATACTTCACCTTAATACCTTATTGCCTAAACTGAGACTATAGGATTGTCATAAGTTTTCTTTTTCCTTAACCACTGCTCATATTCCTCCCTGGGTATCTTGTTAGAACACCCCCTTTTCACTTAAGTACTGTGTCCTTTGTCTACCCGCCCTGTGTGGCTTTGTTCTGTCCCCCCATCCCATGTGAGTGAGGGTTCCTTCTCATACCAACACCTTTTTCCTCCCTGATCCTTGTCTGGCTCTCGGGTGGTGGCTGTCATTTTTAATTGGTTTTGCGTAGCATCTGCTTTCCCATCCTCGTCTTTCCTTGTACTCTTCCCACCACAGTCTTCTCTGCATCCCTGTCAGAAGATGACAGTCTTCAGAAAAGACAACCTCCCGCCTGTGTACATCAAACTCCCTCATGTGCCTCTGTGTGTTTTTATGTGATGTAGTGTACGTGAGGCGAGCTTTGAGCCTCTCCATATCTGTACAGAATGTTCCCGTTGTCAAACCTCCTCATTCTTAGCAGCCCTACAGTCTTAAGACATGAAGAAAAGTCCCTTTACATCTTTGTATGTAGTTCAGTTACCATTTCCTATCACTCTTAATTTTTCTAAAGTCATTTATTTATTCCCTTTATAGCCACCTTATTCATATCTAGCTTTGCTTAGCACGATAATAGAAAACAAGATATGCATTCACCAGTGTCATTGGTTAATAGTTAATTATACCAAAACATCAGTTGTTCTCTTAACGTACCATGCATCTCCATGTTTTTTTACGTTAAACGGTTTATTTCACCAGCACTAGAATTTTTTTAATTATCTGTATAATTTGATAACCTAATCTGTTAAATCAATCAAAGACAGATCAGTGCTAGTGCAAAGTGTCGTGTTGGTTGTATTTTTGTCCTGACCTTATTTCCTCAACTCTCATTTCCTCTTGCCATGTGTGGTTTCAGCAACAGCAGCAGCAGCAACCGCAGAGTACAAAATATACAATCACTGAAGGAGATTGTTGAGATTTGCAGCTGATTAGAAAGATAGGATAAAAAAAGAAGAATAAAGTCTCACTTTTTTGTCAGTTTCCTTCTTGCTAATGCAAATAGTTGGTTATGTTGTGCTAATATTTTAAAGAT